CTGTTGTCTGTCTGCCCAGCTGCGGGGGCAGAATAGTGTTGTTTAAAAGTGTCTACTGTTTCATGTTTTGTAGTAGCCTTAGTGTAAAACAGTTTTATTGAATAAGAATTGCATTTGACGATACTTAATAATCATATTTAAATATTACCTACATATGTATTAAATGAAAGATAAGAATAGCAAGTAAAAACAACCTGAAAAGCCAAATATTTTTTACTGGAGATTTGTAATAAGATGCAAATGTAATCTTAATTAAAATCGACTATACAATAGTAAGTCAAATGTACTTACAAAAACTGAGTGTGACAGTAAAGTTTACTTAAGTGCCTTTAGTAACAAACACTTCTTAACTGTAAGTAGAAGCTACTTGAAATAAACGTTGTTACATTTGCTTAGGTTTTCTGAGTGCGTTTTTCTTACCTCGATTTTCCTAAGTAAATCTTACTCCCCGTTTTTTTCAGTGTATCTTTGTTTCCCAGGGATGATTAATTTCTTTAGAATGTAACAAAGGATTGGCTAATTACCTCCAAGAGAAAAGAAACAGGCTCACAATATTCTTGTATGTGAAAACACATTATTGTTGTACCCTTACATTATTATTCTTCTTAATGCATTATTTTTCAATTAAAAACAATTCACTTGAATATAGTCTTCCTGGTAGTTAAAACACATTTTTGCAGTAAGAAAGCACCTTAATTTCAAAGGCTACAGCGCCTATTTTGCAGAACTAAAACCCCTCTTACTGCATTTTATTTCTAATGTGTTTTAGTTTATTTCAGCATTCAAATCATGCTGAAATAAACTAAAACAACACTTTTGAAATCATTTTACTTTCCATTATTGTCTTAAATGTCCAGAGGTCATGTCAGGTCAGTGCAAGTCGAATGAAATGTTGAAATAAAACATATAAAGAACATGAACAACATATTTACATACCTTTACAAATATGTGTATATTTGGCAGTTTTTTATTTAAGACCTGAGAGGTATGTAGATGATCCGTTTAGACTTTCAGCCCCTACACTGTTTGCAACATATTATACATTCAAACGCATTGTACAATAATGAACAAGTGCAACCAGTTTATAAAAAAGGGTCTTGGTCAGCTAACCCAACAGCTTTAGTGTGTGTTTCTCACCACTTTTAGGACCACGAGACAAGATCAATTGTGGCCGGATAAGATGAAATGAAAGAAATTCATGTTTGTATGCAAAGAGCTTCACTTAATAATAACCAGGCACCACTTCCTCGGCCTGGCGGTGGTGGCATCATGCTGTGACGATGCATCCGTGCAAAAAGTGACATAACTGAAATTAACCACTCTAATACATGATGGATAAAACCAGAACTACAGGATGTATTCAGGAACTTCATACTGGGGTGAAGCCAAACCTTAAACACAAAGGCTGGAGCGTTTTCGGGACAAGTCTCTGGATCTCACTGTGCAACTAAGCGAAGTTTGACCAATATATAAGTGAAATATGTTTTTGTGTTTGTTTTTTTAACACGTTAGTATCTTTGTATCTTAGTATTTCAAACCTGTTTCTGATTCTGATTCTGATTGCAAATGTTATTATTAGTGTGAATGCTGTTTAAAGCATTCCACTATTGTTCTTCAAATCTTTATTCTTCAACTTCATCTTATTTCAGTTCTTCCGTACATTCTTTGCCGTCGAATAACTTCAGCATACTTTCAGCTACAGAAACCATTCAAATATCAAAATATTCAGCCTTTTCAGCAAATGATGGGAAACTTTCAACTTTTTCAAAATATTTTATACCTTTTGAAATATTCAGCTTTTTAAACTCTTTTTTTAACATGTAACTCAATGGGAGGAACCTTAAAATCCTCTTTTACCTACACTTTGCGCCAAATGCTACTCCTTCCACATACTTTCAGCTAGAGACTTCATTCCAACTTTAAAATGATCACAAGGCATTCAGCTATTAAACTTGTATTCAGACTTTTGATATTTTGTACACTTTTTGAGATATTTAACTTAGTTTGGAGCTTGGTAAAGAGGCCTTCATCAGAGTTTAACATTAGTGTGTATTGCGCAGCTCGTTAAGGCTTAGAGTGCGTGATGTCACACCTAGAGAGCTTGAAATTCGCCTTACATTTTCTTTTTAAACCTGCCATAATTCCCAAACCCTACAATCCTTAGACTTAATTTTTCATGAAGAACGTAGGAAAACCTCTCCTACGTTGAAAAATTAAAAAAAATTAAGCAAAAAAATGTAACAAAATGCCTCTTGAGGGCATGAAGTGATACAAATGTTCAACATGTCTCCATTAAGGCCCATTGTAAATTCAGCCTGATCTTTCCTCAGAGCACCAGCTGCACACCTTTAGTAAATCTGCCAAAAATGCCACATTATTGACCCGAAAGTACACAAAAAGCAGACTCAGATGCTCCTCAGGGTCCTGACAAGCTCCACGCGTTTACCGATAGCTGCTACCGTTTTTAAACTATAGTTAGAAATGTAAGAGGTTTATTTCTCATTCAGAACAATGGAAAGGCTCTCCTTTCACTGATCACTGCACATCACCATGGAAACCTTAGATCTCTGCACACGTGTTTGATAATGTCGTCACCATGGTAACCTTTGATCTCTGGGCTCACACACAGGTGTTTGATAACGTCGTCATCTCAAACACAAACACAGAGGGTGTTTCTCAATCGCGAGTAAAGCTGCTTCCGAGCCACTATTTCAAGCATACTACGTCATCGAGTGCCGCCGAAGTACTGTTCCAATCTCCAGTATACTTGGAAATCTACCGAGCCCGGCGTACTCCGTTTGGAGAAATATCGAGTGTGCACATGAGTAGACTTCGCGGCCTTAAAATCCCCACAATGCTTTGCGCACGGACCAATTTCCCCAAATCTGTGGCGGAAGATGTAAGGCGAGGCCTCTCATATGACGCACACCTGCACACTTGCTAGCTTGTTCCACTCTTTGTTTTCCGAATGGCAGGAAGTATTCTTGACTCGCTTCTGAAGCAAGATGCTCGGCAGACATGTGCTACCAAGCAAGCGTACTCGCGATTGAGAAACACCCACAGACTGGAGTTTAACAGACTGTCTCAGCCTATTATTTTCTGTCTGATGGAGACTCCTCCTCTTCCAGTTTAACATTTCACTTTCAAGTTTTCAACAAAGTCATTGCAATGCATTTGAGCTGTAACAATTTTGATTCAAATCATTTCACTTTTCTGCATTTCTCCGCTAAGTTCAGCAACACACTTACTTGGTTTTTGTAGCTAAAATTAGCTACAGAGACCATTCAACTGATCAAATATGCAGCCTTTTCTGCATTTTCAGCTACATTCAGCAACAAATGTACACAGTTTACAGCATTCGCACGCATTTTCAGCAGGAAATGCATTTTCTAGTTACTCTGATGCTGTTGGAGTTGTTGTATGTCTTTAAGTCTGAAGGTGAAAGCAGATACAAAAGAGTTGAAGGAATTTGAAGAGTCTGAAGTCGTTTAGGTTCAGCGTTGTAGATAAATGGAAATGTGTCCAACAATCAGCGTTGGTTTTGTCTAATGTTTGGTTCTTGTTCCCTGGTGAGGGCCCTTGAAACAATTACTATACTAAGACTAATTTACAGAATCATTATTCAAATATTGATTTAAAATACCTATGTTTTTAATACAACAATTAGAAGTGCACAAGTTGTAGCTAACACATATGGGATTTTACATACGCTATGCATTGTGAAAGTGGAAGGAAGACAAGCTGGTGCCAAGCTGCAGCTGACAGGAAATCTTATTAAAACTCAGAATTTGAATAAAGTGAAAGAAATTCCCATTCTGAAAAACTATATCTGTTTTGCAGAACTAAAACCCGTGTTTCTGCCTTTTTTCCTTCTGAACTATTTTAGTTCACTTCAGCATCCCATACATGCAGTGAAATTATTTCACTTTCATTGTCTTAAAAGCTTAAATGTCCAGATGTCATTACATGTACCTGGTCTTAGTATAAGTTCAATAAGAGGTTCAATTAAACAGACACAAAAAGTATAAAAATGGGAAGCTTACATTTGGGGTGTGAGTTTCATTTGGGGTGTGAGTTTCAGATTAGCCTTATTGCATTCACATTTTCTTTGAAGCACTTCTTGCTTTTAGAAATGTGGGTGTTGTTAACAGCCTTTTCGCATATTAAATATGATACAGTTTCCTTTTCTTTAATCCAGATTTCACTTATCATAGGTTCTGATTTTAACCTAATAACCTTTATTCATTTATTCAGTGCAAGAGTACATTTTGACCCTTCCCTTTTTAGGGTGAAATGGGACAGTTTTGCAGATGAGGGGTTGAGTATGATGATCTTGGGTACAGTGTGAAACATTAATATGATCTGTATTTATAATATAATGTATACAGTTGTTTTCAATATGTACTAGGTAAACTGTTATGCATCTAAATGTAAATAATGAGAATATATCCATTGACATTCTTAACAAAGAAACATCACAAAAAAGAGTAGCATAACGTAAAATATAAATCCAACACCTTATACTTAATAATGAGGAAACCAAGGCAGTGATCGGTTTTCTGGTGTCAATTATGGCAAATTGTGTGACGATTCAAAGACTCTGGGGATTTAGGATATTTTCATTTCTGAAGTGACCCAGCCTTATAATCAGTGACTATACAATGGGCTGAATTTGGTTATGAATGACCTCACACACTCAGTTTGTAAACCTCTACTGCTGTCTAGTGGATAACATTTGAAAATGCAGATTTTGCCATGTATAGATATATAACCTGTACATATACAGTACCACAAAAAGAGCTCCTTAAATAAAATGTGTCATGTATTTCCCTGATGATTCCTCTAAAAGTAACTGTAAGGAAAGTTGTGATATAGGGTTAATGTCAACAACAAATTAGTTTAGAAAGAAATTGTGTAATTAAGCGTTGTGTACAAAAAAGGAGTCTTTATTTCTTTACATATAAGTCATGATAACATCTGAATAATGCACAGGACTTATATAATAACAACAGCAAAATGTTTTACTTTTGACTTTATACGGCATAGTTTGGTATTTGTATAAGTTGGATAAAATATGTGTTTAGCAAAATGACTACAAATGTGCCATCAATATATTAAAAAGTAAACCACAACACAACTTTACAAAATGACAATACCATATGTGTGCAAGACAATTAAAAAAATGTAAGCGCAGTCACATACTGGATAACTGCTGTATAAGAAAGGTAAGTTAAAGATATCTGGTTGGCTGCAGAACTCACATGAAAACTTTAAAAAGATCTCATCACTTTTGGTCAAACTTTAAGCTGCATCCATCTCAATGTTTCCTGGATGTTGTGATCACAGCTGGCTGATCGACTGGGAGCCTGTCTCTCGAGTTTTCTTCTCTGAACTCTCAGGGTAGTCTACTTGGGACAGATGCAGAGCTTTCCTGCAGATGTTCTTGAAGGTAGGGCTCGAGAAGTAGTAAACCACAGGGTCCAACACGCTGTTGAGATACGTCAGGCTGATGCTGAGGTAAAACACGGTGGTCAGGTTATCCATCGCCTGGCAGACTTCAGGTCCCGAGAGGTTTCCGGCTAACTGCTGGGTCTTGATCCAAATGATCAGCTGCGTGATGTTGCTCGGGAGGAAGCAAACGATGAAGATCACCGCCACGACTACGATGAAGCAAAGAGCCTTTTTAATCTTTGCTTCCTGGGACAACTGTCTCCGTCTCAGGTGTCTGATGATCTGGATCGTGCAGTAGAGAATCACAAGCAGAGGCATGTAGAAGGAGAAGATAAACACAAACGTGTGCCAGTTCAGATAGAGCGAGGCTTCAGTCTTGATCGTGAAGCTCTCGCAATAGGTCGTGTTGATGTGTTGCAGACTAAAAATATTAACTGTCATTGAGAAAGTTATCAGCCACAGTCCAAGTGCTCCACACATGGCTTTAGGGATGCTCAGAGAGTTGATGGAGTGATGGGGGTGCACCACTCGCATGTACCTGTCCACAGCGATGGCCATGAGGAAGATGCTGCTTCCAGTGCGGTTCAGGGCCAACATGAAGAGGCAGATGTTGCACAGAGGGGTTCCAAACGGCCACTTGATCCCAGAGAAGTAGTAGCTTGCACGGAAAGGCAATGCCACGATCAGCATGAAATCAGCCATTGCCAGGTTGAAGAGTAACACTGTGCTGCTCTTCCAGGGCTTCATGTGGAAGCAGAAGATCCAGAGAGCCAAACCATTGCCAACGACTCCCAAAACAAACTCTGTCATCAGCAGTGGCGGGAGCACGCTGGTGAGCAGAGTGCCGTTGAATTCGCATCTCATGTTGAGTTATGTGCTGCCTCGCTGCCTGCAGATGAGACAAATAACCCCTTCAAGGTTTTGCTGCATCATAAAGCAAAATGTCTATATGGAAAGAAGTGGTTGTGGTTTGGTCATTTACAGGAAGCCCTGTGGTTCTGCTTTTTTTAACTAAATGTTGACACACTCAGCTATCTTTGTTTCCCAGCGATGATTAATTTCTTTAGAATGCTATACTTGAAATGAATGTAAATTTTCTTGTGTGTCCAGTTTTACAGTGCTTTCTGAGTAAAACTTCAAAACGGAACTTCTGAAGCAGAGTTTTTCTTGGGAACCTGCCCAGCTAAGGGGGCAGAATAGTGTTGTTTAAAAGTGTCTACTGTTTCATGTTTTGTAGTAGCCTTAGTGTAAAACAGTTGTATTGAATAAGAATTGCATTTGATGATACTTAATCATTATATTTAAATATTACCTACATATGTATTAAATGAAAGATAAGAATAGCAAGTAAAAACAACCTGAAAAGCCAAATATTTTTTACTGGAGATTTGTAATAAGATGCAAATGTAATCTTAAAGGTGGGGTAGGTAAGTTTGAGAAACCGGCTCGAGATACACTTTTTGTTATATTCCATGGAATGCTCTTAACACCCCGATAGCAATGAATATTTTAAGTGCTTTGACAAAAAATCCATACAAAAATGTCATTCTAGCGATCTCGAGCAGGTTTCTCCAAAATTACCTACCCAAGGTTCAAGGTTCTTTATTGTCAATCTGACATGGCTACAGAGTAATTATGTAGTTGAAAATCTTATGTCACAGGCTTCTGCAACAATGCAACATAATAACATAAAAACAATAAGAGCAAGAGCAATACAAAAAGAAAAATAGTTATAAAATAAAGTGATGATGTGGAATAGTGCAGTACAAGTCTATATACAAGTTATTGGAATGATATATATATATATTAGGTATTAGATACATATTACTGAGTAGCAGATTAATGTTTTGAAGTTGTTTCAACAGTTCAATTTTTTAACAGTCTCACTGCCCGCGGGAAGCAACTGTCTCCGAATCTTCTTGTCCTTGCCAGGATGCTGCGGTAACGTCTGCCAGACGGCAACAGAAAGAACAGTTTGTGGCTGGGGTGATGGGGGTCTTTAATAATCCGTAGTGATTTCTTCCTGAGCCGCTGGGAGTAAAGGTCCTCCATGGATGGCAGCTCCGTCCTGGTGATGTGCTGTGCAGTTTTCACCACCCTCTGTAAAGCCTTACGATCGAGGTCGGTGCAGCTGCCGTACCAGGCCGTCAGGATACTCTCTATCGTGCACCTGTAGAAGTTGCAGAGTATCCTGGAATCCATTTTGAACCTCCTCAACCTGCGGAGGAAGAAGAGCCGCTGTCGAGCTTTCTTGGTGATGGTGGTGGTGTGAAGAGACCATGTCAGGTCCTCAGTGATCCCCACCTTTAATGCATTATTTTTCAATTAAAAACAATTCACTTGAATATAGTCTTCCTGGTAGTTAAAACACATTTTTGCAGTAAGAAAGCACCTTAATTTCAAAGGCTACAGCGCCTATTTTGCAGAACTAAAACCCCTCTTACTGCATTTTATTTCTAATGTGTTTTAGTTTATTTCAGCATTCAAATCATGCTGAAATAAACTAAAACAACACTTTTGAAATCATTTTACTTTCCATTATTGTCTTAAATGTCCAGAGGTCATGTCAGGTCAGTGCAAGTCAAATGAAATGTTGAAATAAAACATATAAAGATATCATGAACAACATATTTACATACCTTTACAAATATGTGTATATTTGGCAGTTTTTTATTTAAGACCTGAGAGGTATGTAGATGATCCGTTCAGACTTTCAGCCCCTACACTGTTTGCAACATAACCCTAACCCTAATAACATGACATCAATACCTTAAATGAGACTCACCTGAAGGTGGGCGATGGCCTTGAACATGATGAGGTTGTTTTCACACTTTGCATCATCTGCAGAGGACACTCTTGGACAGTTTTTACCCTAACCTTAAATTGTAAGCTGTGTTAAGACAATCAATGTCTAGTGTCTTTATATATTTTAAGGTGATTGGAAAATGTGAAGTATTAATGCATCTAAAGCAGGGGTGGGGAACCTTTTTCCTGTCAAGGGCCATTTCAATTTTTTCAACATCCTCCGAGGGCCGTACAAATTATTGACCTCTGCTTAAAAATACTAAAATCACAGCCCATTCATTTTACCTGTCTTTCATGCTGTGCAAAGAAAAAGCAACCTCTTAATAATCCAGATATCTTACCATGACTCGCACATGCATGCACGTGCACGGTTGTGGCATGACCACCAAAACAGAAAGATACGGACACAAGATGTGTGCAAATGTATTTAGTTTCCTATCCATGTGAACATGATTTAAGTGGGGGGGGACCTAACCTCCTCTAGGGGGGTCCGGGGGGGCATGCTCCCCCGGGAAGATTTTTTTTAAATGTTGAAGTTAAAAGCATCAATCTGGTGCACTTTGAGAGCAACATTAAGAGATCTGGGTGTTGAGAGATCTATGGATACATCTCTCAACACCCATATGAAACAGAACTGTAAACAGATTTTCTTTTTCTTTATGGATATTTCACAAATCACTCTCCTTTCAAACTGTATTCTTGTTTATTAATAGAGACATATACCACGTGATGACACAATAGGCTTGTGTTGTGTTCAAGGACCCTGACCTTGGCCAGGAAAAACAGGCACTCGTTTGTTTAATTATTTTGCGGCCAAGATTTCTTTAATTTTTTTCTTTTTTGCGTGTGTTTATAAATTGCCTCGAGGGCCGTACCAAATGGTCTCGCGGTCCGTATACGGTCCGGAGGCCGGAGGTTCCCCACCCCTGATCTAAAGCATCCTTCAGTGTGATGTTTTACTGCTTCAACACATGGAGGTCAGAGCCTTGAGTTATCTTAAGAGCTGGAACTGAGAGGAATACTTTGACTTCCTCAAGAAAATGCTTCAAAATGGTGTAAAGTTAGTACTTACGCTTTTGGATTATATTCATGTATTTCAGAGCCTCCACCATCCCCTGAGCCACGACCATCTGGTTCTTCTTGTGCTATTAAAGACATTTAGTAAACATTGCACCTTTGAAACAAGTAAAAGTAGAAGATCAGTGAATAATGAAAAGTCTGCAAGCGGAAATGCTCCCAGGGAGAAACCTTGGTATATGCCCTCAACAGTGCACGCTCCTTCCACTACTCCTCTGTAATACCATCTGGCAGCAATAACCCAAAGTCCCTTTTTTCAACTATTAACAAGCTCCTCAACCCCATGGATAATATCTCCAACTCCTTCACCACCTCAAAGTGTGAATCCTTCCTCTCATTCCTCCAAAGCAAAATTGAAATAATACACAGCAACATAGCCAACTCCTCCGTCTCGTCAATCACCCATCCTTTTCCGGAACCTGCCTACCATCCTCCTTGCAGGCACCCTATTACAGCCTTCAGACAAATTACCTCACTGGACATAGTTGCCCATGTCACCGGCATGAATACCTCAACTTCCATCCTGGACCCCATGCCCTCCACCCTTGTCAAGGCCTGCCTCCCCCAACTCACTCATCTTATCACCACAGTCATTAACTCCTGCTCTGAAACTCGCTGCTGTCACTCCCATACTCAAAAAACCTGGTCTCAACCCTGATTCCCTCAATAACTACCGGCCCATCTCTAACCTCCCATTCCTGTCAAAAATTCTGGAGCGAACTGTTGCCTCCCAACTAAAATCCCATCTGGACTGCAATAACCTTCATGAACCTTTTCAATCTGGTTTCCGTACTCGCCACAGCACAGAATCTGCCCTACTCAAGGTCACCAACAACATTCTCTTCTCTGCTGACTCTGGTTCCCTCTCAATTCTCATTCTCCTTGACCTAACAGCCGCATTTGACACGATCAACCATTCCATCCTCATCAACCACCTCCAGTCTTCCATTGGCATTACCGGTACTGCCCTCTCCTGGTTTAAATCCTATCTCTCTGACAGACATCAATTAATCTCCATTAACAACTCCAAATCCCCCACAGCCCCCGTCAATCATGGCGTCCCTCAGGGTTCTGTACTTGGTCCCCTTCTGTTCATCATCTACATCCTCCCAATTGGACAAATCCTCCGTCAACACCAACTCCAGTTCCACTGTTATGCTGATGACACACAGCTCTACCTCTCAACAAAATCAATTTCTCCAACCACACACTCCCAGCTCAGCACCTGCCTCACTGACATTACAATTTGGATGCAAAACAATTTTCTAAAACTTAACTGTGACAAATCGGAACTTATAATCATTGGCCCAAACTCACTTACCCGCTCAACCCAAGATTTTTCTCTTACCATCGATGGCTCCATTGTCAACCCCTCCACTCACATCCGTAACCTTGGCATCATCCTCGACCCCACCCTCACTTTCCTCCCTCACGTCAACCAGGTCACAAAAAACGCTTTCTTCCATTTAAAGAACATCGCCCGCATCAGACCCTCCCTCTCATCGACCGCTGCTGAAACTCTGATACATGCCTTTATAACATCCCGACTGGATTACTGCAGCAGCATACTTTTTGGATCACCTGCATTCATACTAAAAAAACTTCAATATGTCCAAAACTCAGCTGCCCGCTTGCTCACCTCCACCCGACGCTCAGACCACATCACCCCTATCCTCCATGACCTCCACTGGCTCCCCATCAAACACCGCTTTGACTTTAAAATATTACTTTTCACTTTCAAAGCCCTCAACAACCTTGCCCCCCCCCCTACCTCTGTGACCTCATTGGCAGGTCTTGCTTTAGGATGTATCTAATCAGCGTCTGGGGAAGATATGCAGAACATTACAGAGGGTTCATAGGCAGATCATCATTTCACATATTCAATCAAACTTACCATAATTTGAGTGCTGTTAGAGAGGTCGAAGTTGCGGATCCCGTAGCCCCGGAGAAGTTTCCTGATCTCCATCAGACGGTAGCTCTCCTTTAAAAGCTCTTGTCTGGGAAAGATACCAGAAGAAAATGACTTAGAAAGAGCTTTAATTTAGTCTGTTTGCCAGCTCATAGAGTCATATTGTGAAATGTTTAGTGCCCCGACTTTTGGTAAAGTTTGAAGATTTAGTGGACTCTGGATCAGTCTGGCCACACTAAAAGGTCATAATTTTCATTTTGTGTTCTCTATATCCAATGGTAGTCAAAATCAACCCATCTGGATTACAAATATGGCCACTTTCTGGTTAAATCTGCAATTTGTTATCCTGATAATGTCAGAAATGGATTCAGCATCCTCAATAACCTCCAAAACCACTTCAAAATTGTTCAAATTAGCCAAGCCATTTTTTGTCTGCATATATAGGCTATAATGCTAATTAACACAACTCATGCTAATTATGCAAATTGCCCAACATATGCGAGTTAGCATCAGGCAGTTTGTTATTACTGGGGACCCGTACTATACATTTCTAACATAAAACTTTGGGCCACTCAACATTTCCGCGTTCACAGTGCTGGCGACTTGACTACTTGTGTGAACACATGATGGTGAGGATTATGTAAACATACTTTGGTCCATCCATCTCGAGGTACTGCTGAACCAGCTGTTCTACCACTTTACTCCAGGGCACCACCGCTTTCTGCATGATCTCCAGCACAGCATCCACCTTCATCTGGAAGAAAATACAATACCGTGAGATTGAATAAACCTTAGAACAAACGTAATGTTTTTACGAGCTTATCATTATCTCTGCCAGAGAGGTATTGTGTAAGGCAGTGTGTGTGTGTGTGTGTGTGTGTGTGTGTGTGTGTGTGTGTGTGTGTGTGTGTGTGTGTGTGTGTGTGTGTGTGTGTGTGTGTTTTTTTCCACAGCTCCTCACACCAATCATTAGCTTTCCTGTCGAATCAGCATATTTTCATAACTCTATAAATGAGTCAGATATTGCGGGAATTTGGTTTTGTTTCTGTCCAGTTTTTAACGAAGGGGGTTTTTACAGAAACTTACATCAGTATCATTTATGCAATCGAGCACCGTCACTGCTTTGGCTTCCCATTCTGTGAAGAGTGTTGTGGTCTGAGAGCTGCAGCGCTCCAGCAGATCCTAGTGAACAAAAGAGGACAATCATTGACCCATTTGGTATATGAAATGTGTTTTTCCACCAGTGGGCATGGCAGTGGTGAAGTGTTACCTTGCTGTACTGTACACTCATAAAAACGATTCAAGCCCTTCTTAGACTTGACACAATAAACACATGTTCGCTTTATTAAATATTTTTATTTAAGAAATAAACCTAAGTATAGTTCATTAGTGTAACACAAATTACATTAATCAATTCACTTATTAAATGTATTTAGGACAGATCAACTCAAAATGAATTGTTTTCATCTGGGGACTGCCCCTTTGCACATCCCCTTTGCACATGCGCAACATCCGTTCTGTCTTTTACCGCCTTTTGTCTGACACTGACTGTGGAAACTGACTGTGGAAAGTCTATTCTTTGGTAAGTATTTCATTTAGTAGTTTCTTAGTGTGTAGTAGTTTAGAACGTACCCTGTTTCCAAGTAATGCCTTTTCATAATATCAACAAGAATATTTGAAACCACCGTGTTATATTTTGCTTTTTAGTTGGGTCTAAACGGCAAGCTAGCTATAGCTAGCCAAATAACTGGTAGCTAGAAGCTAGCTTGCTACATGTGGGTAGCATTGAATACCTGCTGGATAATGGAGATCAGTAGATTGTATTATATTAGATTTAATGTTATTGTCATTGAACACAGTAGGCCTACACCAAAATTCAGTTTATATCCAACCAAAAAAATGCAAAGAGTAATTAAAGTGCATGAGGTAACAGTATAGGGGGCAGAGCATGCATGCCCCTGCAAGCGCCGCCATTTTCTATCATAAAGCTCTGCAGGTCTGTCCACCTCTCCTGGCCTTAGTTCAGGCAGGCAGAGGAGGACAGGTGAAGCCACTCGTTTCTGTAGGAGTTCAGTTGAGTTTAGGCACTGGTCTTTTTTTTACTGCCAAATATTTAATATAAATAATGAGATAATATATGTGCTGAATCTTTTATGGGTAACCTCACTCACAAGCAGGCACCCACAATTGTGCAGAAACGTAGGCCTAAGTTACTTTTTTGATTCCATTTGACTTCTCAGAGTAGTTTTAATGCTGCGTACTTTTTGCTCGTACTTGAGGTAAACCTTTAGAAAAAGAGTCATCACTTTGAATTGGTTAGTCCACACTTAACACAATGGCTAATGCTAAAGCTAACGCAGAACTCCAACTTGTAATAAAGCTAAAGAGGCAGGAGCTAATTTATACAGAAATATTTACAGCGTACAGTGCAGCGGGCTCCAGTGTGTCTTCTGTTCTGTGAAAATGTTAATAACGATAGCACACGGTTTAACGTGCTTTAAAACTAATACTAGTAGGCTACTCTAGTACCCCCCCCCCATCTCTGTTGTAATGTTAATATTCAAACTAACTAGGGATGCATGCGATGTTTTACTATGTAAAATGTAATAGTAGCATTTATGCTGACTGGGGCAGCCTTGTCCGTTTAAGACAGAGACGGGGGAATACGTGTGTGGCGCGTGCATGTGTAGAGCGAGTGAGAGAGAAGTTGAGCGAGCCGTAGTACGTTTCTGGAAGTTAACGGGAGTAGCAGCAGTATAACAAAGTCATAAATATAAAATACGGCCTCCGAAGAACATTGAATGATGTATTTCATACTGATCCTGCAGACACCCACGACACGGGGCGGAAGTCCTGCAGCATGCGCGTCCCCCCTGCAGCGCCAAATTACTTTAAAGTTACGGCAGACCCACAGTTACTCTACCCACTGAAGCACACGCACACTGCTTGCTTTCTCGCTGGACTTACTAGCTTTTCAGACCCTCTCAGCGACTTTATTTCTAAAAAGCGACTAGCGAAAAATCTAGCGAGTTATTGAGATCATCAGGGGGAAAGTGGAAATCTACACCAATCTATTATATTGTAATTTATTCCTTCGCTGTTCACTCAGTGGGGTCTCAGCACCGCGTCTCCCCCTCTGGCGCTGTGCGAACACAGGCACGAGTGAGATTGAGTTACTATGGTTACAGTTACGCTATTTCTCTGAAACTGTTCAACACAAACAAAAACTGACCTGATCCAATTAAAACGGTGTCATTACTACAGAGATGCGGTATGTTCTTAGGTAATTACAGTGGAACTATATGCTTAATTTAACAACATAAACACCTAGCATAATTATAGTATAAATGTGTATGTTTGTATGTGTTGACCGTTTTTATTATTGTCCATAATGATTAATAGCTCCACAATCGCAGTTGAATTTGCCAATTATCCTACATCCCAATGTGGTAGTAATTCTGATAAACAAGTAACACATTGTTGTATTTTGTTTGTCAATAATATTTTTAAGGTGAATGCAGAGTTCTTGCGCATCACCACCAAGCCACTGCAATCGAAGTTCATGTATCAGCTGGACCACTTTTCCGACAAGCTGCTACAAATCTTCACCAGCAAAGCAGGAGTGAAGGGGGAAAAGATAAAGGAAGCCCTTGCAATCACAGATTCGGTTAGTACAAATGCATTTTTCTTCAGATACCATGTCCTGCTTAGGGACATTTCGACTGATACAACCTTTCTGGTCTTCAGACAACCGCTCTGTCGCACCCACATTAACTAAATTCTGTCTTGATTTGTCGACCCTGCTTTAGTGTGACAACATCAACACCAGGAGGGAGTGCATTCTGAGAAGCCTTGTAATATACCTAAAGGAAGATCCAGACTCGTTCTTCAAGGAGTATCTGGTAAGTTTATACAATATTTTTCCCATGTAGCGTTGAACAGTGTTACCCTAACTTATTAATACCATGGCATATATTATATATACATATATATTATATCCATACCCAAGGCTAGGTGTCTATAATGTCAACTTCTCACTTGCGTGTATTACTTAAGTATCAATAAATAAATAAATGTAAAAATAAATAAGGAAATAAATAAATAAATATAGGTATCAATAAATAAATAAATGTAAAAATAAATAAGGAAATAAATATAGATATTAATGAATAAATAAATGTATACATTAATTAAGGGATGAATAATTATATACATAAATAAATAAATAAAATAATAAATAAATACAGAAATAAATACATTTAAGCATAAATACATGTAGAAATAAGTAGGTAAATGCATAAATAAATAAGGCAATAAATAAAGTATCAATTAATACAGAAATAAATAAATAAATTCTCGAATAAATAAATGTTGAAATACATATAGACATAAGTAGGTAAATGGATTAATAAATACAGAAATACATGTTTAAATTATTACAGGAATAAATAAATAATATAATAAATAGATTCTGAAATAAATACAGAAATAAATAGGTAAATTTATGAATAAATAAGTAAAAGTTGATAAGCAAACAGGACATACATGGATAACTATCTTTATTAGATTTAATTTATTTCTACATTTTTGTACAACTATTTATTTCTGTATTTTAGGCTCTGTATGTTGATAAGGTTGGAGGTCCTTATCTCAGTTTAAAGCAGTATTGGTCAATTAGGCGAGCCAGACAGAAGCAAATCTGCTTCTCTAAACTGCAGTAGATGGTTTAAGAATGCTTATTTAGATTTTCATACAGTTTTCTGTTTGTGGGGTTCAGCTTTTTACTTAACATAAGTGTTGTGTGTTTGTGTTGTTTTTCAGGCCTCCGCGCTGACGATGCAGAGAGGGACATTTCCAACACAGTCATGGGGATTTACACGATCCGAAGAAACGGGGATGGGGGGCCAGAGGACGTGGGAATTGTTATCGAAGGCATTAAAGTCATGGAAAACGTTAGGCAGCGTCATTGTGGGACTCATCATGCTCTTGGGGCTCATGTTTGCCCTTGATCTCAGCTTCCCGGACAACTTGAAGTACACCTTCGAGTTTCTACAGAAGGTCGTAATGAACTTGGATGGGCACAAGCTGAATGCAAAAATACAGCAGCTGCAAATCAAGCTGTTTGCATAAGAGGTGAACAACATGTGAACAAGTGTATTGTCAAGTTTCCTTAACAAATATTTTGCTTTTTTTGTAATTGTAGGTTTAAAGCAAATGGCTACACTACACTTATTCAATTACCAAATATACTGTAGGGTTTGTGCAGTGCACTCTTTATAAAAACCACCCAATGATATTCCCTGTTTGGAGAGCAGTGCAAAGCCTCCACCTTTTATAGTGTCTTTGTTGTTTGTGGCACTGGGAGATCTAGAATAGCTGGGTGTTCACTTTTCACCAGTTTCGGCACTGTTTCGGCAGTGCTATTTGCACCACTCTTAAATTGTTCTTTAAAAAACATATTTGTACATCTTGCTCTGTGTATTCAAGTAAAGTTAATATTGAGCTGTGTATATAAATATTGATGTTGAATTGAGGATTACTGTCACCTTCCTCATCCATGATTGGTGTTATTATTATTTTTCTGAGTTGCTTTTATCTCCTGCTCAGTCTGTTTATTGATATGTTTTATAAAAAAAGAAATGCAGACAGACAAATAACTGATTGACAGAGAGCTGTGACACTCTGTTTACACAAGTAAAGGTGAGGATTGGCTATCCACCTCAAGGTGTAATTGTTATCTGAGAATTTTCAATAAAAATATCTCAACCAGGTTTTGTCTCATGAGTGTCTTAATGGGGGATAAAGTGAAAGAAAAAAATATTTTACGTTATTTCTTTACCAATTAATTATATTAGTTTGAGTTGGACAAATGTAAATTCATTTAATTTACGTAACATGATAATTTTATTTCAGCTGTATTTGATAAAAATGAGTTGGACAAATGTAAATTCATTTAATTTACGTAACATGATAATTTTATTTCAGCTGTATTTGATAAAAATGAGTTGGACTAACTCAATTCAATTTTATTAAATGGATGTTCTTAGTTTCAGTTGGGGCTACGCATATTTATTGGATGGAAATCCTGCCCACAATTGAATTGAGTTCATCCAATGAGTTATTTTTTTGAGTGTAGGAGCAGCTCATCAAAAGGAGTCTCGTGCTCTTCGGCGTACGGCAGGATTCTGCTCTCCACCGTGGCCGCGATCAGCTCAGGAGCCGGCACTTTGTCCAGCATGTAGAACGCCACGCTCCTTACACTTCCCTTTAAAATATAGGAACATCAACACAAGACCTACTCAGAATGTCTCATAAACACAACTCCATAGAGTACTTACTGTAGAACAGGGGTGTCCAAACTACGGCCCGGGGGCCAAATGCGGCTCGTGGACCATTTTGAAATCGGCCCTCAGCAAATTAAAAAAGTACAACACACTTCTGCTTGTCTTATATTGTACTTCTTAAACATATATGTTCAAATATATTACACAGTAATCATGTGTTAATAAGCCCAATTTCCAAATAAATTCAGTCGATTAAAGTTGAAAACATCTTGTAACAAATCTAAGTTGATAAGAAAAAAGCCCAATAACACATTTCCTCGTATTATGAGCAATCTGAAGCTTCCGTTTTAAGGAATGAGCTGCTCACAAAGTAAATGAAACCTTATGGAAAGCTGTGATGTAGGCAGTTTTTTTTCTAACAGCATTTTCAAGTATCAAGAATAATTGACCTACATTGGATTGATTTTTCCAACTTATAACTCAACTTATGAGGCAATAAACCTCTAGGGAGTGGCCAAGCCCTTTGTATATCTTTCTGTATGTGGCCCTCGGTGAAAAAAGTTTGGACACCCCTGACTTAGAAGAATATTTTGCATAAGATAAGATAAACCTTTATTGATCCCCCTAGGGAAATGTAGGTGTTTTAGCAGCAACAGTAACAAGATAGAAACACAGGATAGTACAGGGAAGAGTTCACACATGGAACAGTTGGAATCACAAATACAAATAAATAAATCAAGTGACAGTATTGGATTAAAATCTAAATATATACAGTACAATTAGGAATATGTTAAGTACGTTATGTATGTTATGCAAGTATAAACATGCATTTTGAAAGCAAACTTTTATCGGTATTTACAAGATAATAAAATATTTATTTCATGTTGGATATCGGAAGCTTGTTTTAAAATGTAATAATCAGTCACAAAAGGAAACAAACCTTCTCAAAGACTGAAAGTGAAAGTCTGCAGCTGTATTTCCTGTGGAGGTCCAGGAGCTGCCGGAGGTTCGACACCAGGGACTTCAGGCTCTCCACCTCTTCTGCACCATAATCATCATCCTGGGAAAGAAAGGATGGGAATAAATCATTAATTAAACAACAGGTTAAAATGTCCTCTCATCACCTTTTCTGGATTATTTGCCTACTGACCTGAAAGCCTTACTTCTCAGGGGGGGGGGAAATAATATTCCTCATAGTTTTGTATCTTTGGTTGATATCAGCATGATGTGTATGTATATGCGTGTGTATACACATATAAAAATTACTGAGCAAGTGATGGACAATCCATTATTGCCATTTCAGCTTGCAATACTTTCCTTAAGTCATTCAAATCATTGATCATCACCATTGGTAGGTGCATAATTATAAAGCCCAGTTTTACTAAACTTTAAGCTTCAAATTAGTTTTTGTTTATACCTTTTCTGTCAACTCCAGATTCCTTGCCCTCTGCTCCAGCCATCTCTCCAGGACTTTCTATAGACACATCAAGAAATAACTGTTACTACTGATACATAGCACCATATGGGGAAAATGAGTACTTAATCATTGAGAGGATGTATCCCACCTGTCCTGATGGAAGCACTCTCCTCACAAAAGGTACAAAAACGGTCCTGAACCAAGGACAGAGGTCTTCGGATGGCAGGTCCTCTGGGATAACATCGAGCACCGCTTTAAGATTCCTCTCATCAAACTCCGCTGCAATGTGTCCCTGTCACAAAACACAGAAATAACACAATACACAACCGACCTTGAGAACACCGGGATATTTCTTACAGATTTGTTTTAACAACTGAGCGCACAGAGCTGTTCTTTACCTCATATCTGAGCCAAATGAGTTGTGCACCCTTCAAGTCTCCCTCTCTCAGGTGGGCGAGAATATCTCCCAAATTGTCCATGCTGTTCAGAAACTCAATCCATGCGATGCCACTATGGATGACAGGATAACATAAATGAAAAAAGTGTACATGTGTGATTCAAAAACAACCTGCTGCTGCAACGCATAGACAGATACAAAAAGAATCGATTACTGTTATTATGCAAAACTGGCAATAAAATCAGTTTCAGCCTCTCAAATAAAGAGTTTTGCTGCTTTTTTAAATCATATTTACTCATAAAACAAGACATTTAAGGACATCAGCTCAGACTTTGAGAATCTGGGATGCACATTAACTATTTTCTGACATTTTATCAATGAAATAAATATTGGTTTAAGTCATTGGCAGTAGTTGGAGGTCTACAACAGACCCTATATTGGTAAATGTACTGTAGAACACAGGAGACCACCAATAATTTGAATTTACTTGAAGTTGTCCAGGCCGTGCAGGCTGCAGAACGTAGCCAGCCTGGCCAGAGCCTCCTGGATCTGTAGAGAGGAGTATCGCGTGGCAACGTGGTTCAGCATCTTCTCTGCCGTCTCAAAGGTCGGCCACGGAGCCTTCAGGCAGTACTCCACCACATACTGCTCATCCTGGGCAACGCAACAAAGTGTTAATACTTCATAACAAGTGTAATATGCTACGACTAACTCCATCAATGATCGTCATTTTTAGAATTGTCGATTGAGATGAGGCGTTAACACTGACTGTGATCTTCATCAGGTTGGTCTTGGCCTCCTCCACAAGTTCAGACCACACTCCCTCTCCATATCCACCCACAGAGGCCGAGGTCAGCTGCTCCAGCACAAAGTCCAGCTTCACCTTGTACACGAGCTGAACAAACACAGGATGGATAAATGTGAATAGCCCCGGTAGTAGTAAAAATACACCATCAGTATAGTAACACAACTAATGTTGTTTTCTACTCTGAGAGCACAATTCTCTTGTCTTTTATTCAATTGTCTACTTAGGCAAATTTACATAAATAAAAAATATCTAGCCCTCAAAAGTCCCATAGATGTTACTTTTCTACTCCGCACTTACCTCTAAATCCAGATCAAATGTGATGGCAAACTTTTCAGCCTCCTCAAACATGTGTTTGTGAAGAAGTCTGCTTAGTCTGAAAAATAGAGGATGAACATAAGTCGAGTGATACTGACATCCTGTGGACAACGGCTGAATAATCTGCAATAATCAGAGAAACATCCAGTAAATCAAAATGAAATACCTGTTCTCCGGCAAAGCCTCCGTGAAGCATCTGACAACAACAGAAGATATCGGCTCTCCACGACTACTTGAGGAACAAGAAAAAATCTCCACTTATTATTTCAAAAACATTTACCATATCTCTAAAGTACTGTCTCAACGTCTTAAAGGTCACCTATCATGCTAATTTTAGGCAATAGCATAGGTCTCAGATTAATACAAATACATAAAAAACATGTCTATGAAGTGTTTTGCTCAAAATACCAAACAGATTACATTACATTGCATTTAGCTGACGCTTTTATCCAAAGCGACTTACAATAAGTGCATTCGACCAAGAAGATACAAACTTGAAGAAAACAGAATCATATAAGTACATCAGGTTTCATAGAGCCAACACATTTGAAAAAAGTTTGGACACCCCTGACTTAGAAGAATATTTTGCATAAGATAAGATAAACCTTTATTGATCCCCCTAGGGAAATGTAGGTGTTTTAGCAGCAACAGTAACAAGATAGAAACACAGGATAGTACAGGGAAGAGTTCACACATGGAACAGTTGGAATCACAAATACAAATAAATAAATCAAGTGACAGTATTGGATTAAAATCTAAATATATACAGTACAATTAGGAATATGTTAAGTACGTTATGTATGTTATGCAAGTATAAACATGCATTTTGAAAGCAAACTTTTATCGGTATTTACAAGATAATAAAATATTTATTTCATGTTGGATATCGGAAGCTTGTTTTAAAATGTAATCAGTCACAAAAGGAAACAAACCTTCTCAAAGACTGAAAGTGAAAGTCTGCAGCTGTATTTCCTGTGGAGGTCCAGGAGCTGCCGGAGGTTCGACACCAGGGACTTCAGGCTCTCCACCTCTTCTGCACCATAATCATCATCCTGGGAAAGAAAGGATGGGAATAAATCATTAATTAAACAGGTTAAAATGTCCTCGTATCACCTTTTCTGGATTATTTGCCTACTGACCTGAAAGCCTTACTTCTCAGGGGGGGGGGGGAAATAATATTCCTCATAGTTTTGTATCTTTGGTTGATATCAGCATGATGTGTATGTATATGCGTGTGTATACACATATAAAAATTACTGAGCAAGTGATGGACAATCCATTATTGCCATTTCAGCTTGCAATACTTTCCTTAAGTCATTCAAATCATTGATCATCACCATTGGTAGGTGCATAATTATAAAGCCCAGTTTTACTAAACTTTAAGCTTCAAATTAGTTTTTGTTTATACCTTTTCTGTCAACTCCAGATTCCTTGCCCTCTGCTCCAGCCATCTCTCCAGGATTTTCTATAGACACATCAAGAAATAACTGTTACTACTGATACATAGCACCATATGGGGAAAATGAGTACTTAATCATTGAGAGGATGTATCCCACCTGTCCTGATGGAAGCACTCTCCTCACAAAAGGTACAAAAACGGTCCTGAACCAAGGACAGAGGTCTTGGGATGGCAGGTCCTCTGGGATAACATCGAGCACCGCTTTAAGATTCCTCTCGTCAAACTCCGCTGCAATGTGTCCCTGTCACAAAACACAGAAATAACACAATACACAACCGACCTTGAGAACACCGGGATATTTCTTACAGATTTGTTTTAACAACTGAGCGCACAGAGCTGTTCTTTACCTCATATCTGAGCCAAATGAGTTGTGCACCCTTCAAGTCTCCCTCTCTCAGGTGGGCGAGAATATCTCCCAAATTGTCCATGCTGTTCAGAAACTCAATCCATGCGATGCCACTATGGATGACAGGATAACATAAATGAAAAAAGTGTACATGTGTGATTCAAAAACAAACTGCAGCTGCAACGCATAGACAGATACAAAAAGAATCGATTACTGTTATTATGCAAAACTGTCAATAAAATCAGTTTCAGCCTCTCAAATAAAGAGTTTTGCTGCTTTTTAAAATCATATTTACTCATAAAACAAGACATTTAAGGACATCAGCTCAGACTTTGAGAATCTGGGATGCACATTAACTATTTTCTGACATTTTATCAATGAAATAAATATTGGTTTAAGTCATTGGCAGTAGTTGGAGGTCTACAACAGACCCTATATTGGTAAATGTACTGTCGAACACAGGAGACCACAGGAGACCACCAATAATTTGAATTTACTTGAAGTTGTCCAGGCCGTGCAGGCTGCAGAACGTAGCCAGCCTGGCCAGAGCCTCCTGGATCTGTAGAGAGGAGTATCGCGTGGCAGCGTGGTTCAGCATCTTCTCTGCCGTCTCAAAGGTCGGCCACGGAGCCTTCAGGCAGTACTCCACCACATACTGCTCATCCTGGGCAACGCAACAAGGTGTTAATACTTCATAACAAGTGTAATATGCTACGACTAACTCCATCAATGATCGTCATTTTTAGAATTGTCGATTGAGATGAGGCGTTAACACTGACTGTGATCTTCATCAGGTTGGTCTTGGCCTCCTCCACAAGTTCAGACCACACTCCCTCTCCATATCCACCCACAGAGGCCGAGGCCAGCTGCTCCAGCACAAAGTCCAGCTTCACCTTGTACACGAGCTGAACAAACACAGGATGGATAAATGTGAATAGCCCCGGTAGTAGTAAAAATACACCAGCTACACCATCAGTATAGTAACACAACTAATGTTGTTTTCTACTCTGAGAGCACAATTCTCTTGTCTTTTATTCAATTGTCTACTTAGGCAAATTTACATAAATAAAAAATATCTAGCCCTCAAAAGTCCCATAGATGTTACTTTTCTACTCCGCACTTACCTCTAAATCCAGATCAAATGTGATGGCAAACTTTTCAGCCTCCTCAAACATGTGTTTGTGAAGAAGTCTGCTTAGTCTGAAAAATAGAGGATGAACATAAGTCGAGTGATACTGACATCCTGTGGACAACGGCTGAATAATCTGCAATAATCAGAGAAACATCCAGTAAATAATCAAAATGAAATACCTGTTCTCCGGCAAAGCCTCCGTGAAGCATCTGACAACAACAGAAGATATCGGCTCTCCACGACTACTTGAGGAACAAGAAAAAATCTCCACTTATTATTTCAAAAACATTTACCATATCTCTAAAGTACTGTCTCAACGTCTTAAAGGTCACCTATCATGCTAATTTTAGGCAATAGCATAGGTCTCAGATATATACAAATACATAAAAAACATGTCTATGAAGTGTTTTGCTCAAAATACCAAACAGATTACATTACATTGCATTTAGCTGACGCTTTTATCCAAAGCGACTTACAATAAGTGCATTCGACCAAGAAGATACAAACTTGAAGAAAACAGAATCATATAAGTACATCAGGTTTCATAGAGCCAACACATTTCAAGTGCTACTCAAGTATAACATGGAAAAGTAAATAAAATAAGTTTAGTAGGAGGATGTGGATTTATTTTCTCTCACCTTGTAATTACACAATCAAACAATAATTTTGCTCTGGCCTTCACTCACAAAAAAACATTTTGTTGAATTGGACACATTTTTCGAAGCTCTATTGACTGACATGCAATGACTGGGACTGATGGAAGAATCTGAGAGGAATTAACTAGGAGCAGAGAAATAATCATATTTAAAAGACAGCAGCTTCATAAGAGGCCAACAAGAGTCACAAGGGTTTGTCACTTTGCTGAAGGATAGTTGTGACCAGCTATCCAGGCCAGTCTCTTAAGACTGTCCAAGGGGTAAAAAATGCTGCTGCTGGAGTAGCCTACTGACTGGAAGTATTGCTGATATCATGTCTACCATATCCTCTTAAAATACTCTGTCCAACAATATAAGTCTCATGAAGAAAGGTGTTTTAACGCTTATTCAAAATAGCAAAGAAACATGCATTCTTGTACTCAGAAGGGGACAGAGGATTACTCAAAAAGTACACAGTAAAAGTACTTCATAGTACTTGTGGGAGTAGTTTCACTAGTAGGCTACTGAGTCCAACAGTATCAATCTCAAGAAGAACTAATGGCAAAAAAAAATAATAACAAACTCGAGAGACGGCTGAGTTGACCGCAGTGCAGAATCGCTGCATAGTTTAAATCTCCTAACAATGTTGTCCATTTTAGACATAGGCTTATTATATTTATAGCCCGTAATAACATTCATTTTCTGGGCTCAATATGTGTCTGGGCCGTTTTCGTTGTGATCGCTAAATTCCCCTTGTTTCCCCTTGTTTATAAATTATAATATTATCACCATTCCAAGCACACGAGTGCTTTTGTTTTGAAATCACTTCCGAGAGTTTCGCCCCTCGCTCCAATGACCATTAGACCATTTAGGTAAAAAGCAAAAAGCAAAAAACGCCTCTCAGACGCTCTTCCGTTTACTTGTTTAATAAAGAAAAACAAATGGACGACCATTTGTTTTTTGGTGGTATATGTTCTCTATTAGTTGTTTCTTACTGTTAATGTCCAACAGAAATAGGATTTAAATATTTGTTTTTTCATCCTTTATTGGTTTGAGGTTAATGCATGTAAGGACATATATTGTTTACTTTGCATGGGGGTGGGGAAAAAAGTTGTTGTGGCACAATATCTATCAGCAATTCTGAGAACTTTAAAGCGTGAAACAGGTGCTAGAGATAAGCTGCAGAAGTTGCAGTCATACAGGAAACAATTTCTCATCTGTGTAAATAAAGTTACAAACAATGACTTTTCCCGAAGGATTTCTCTTTCTATAAGCAACCAAGTGAACTTCTTCTACCATAAACTGTTTTAATTAACCACAAAGCACTTCTCAGTATTACTAGATTGTATTTTATTCATATAAGTCAAGATAACATCTGAATAATGCACAGGACTTATATAATAACAACAGCAACACGTTTTACTTTTGACTTTATACAGCATAGTTTGGTATTTGTATAAGTTGGATAAAATATAATATATCTCAATGATTTCACAGAATGTGTGTGCAAAAGTACTACAAATGTGCCATCAATATATCAAAAAGTAAACCACAACACAACTTTACAAAATGACAATAGCATATGTGTGCAAGACAATACAATTTTTTTAAGCGCAGTCATATACTGGATAACTGCTGTATAAGAAAGGTAAGTTAAAGATATCTGGTTGGCTGCAGAACTCACATGAAAACTTTAAAAAATATCTCATCACTTTTGGTCAAACTTTAAGCTGCATCCATCTCAATGTTTCCTGGATGTTGTGATCACAGCTGGCTGATCGACTGGGAGCCTGTCTCTCGAGTTTTCTTCTCTGAACTCTCAGGGTTGTCTACTTGGGACAGATGCAGAGCTTTCCTGCAGATGTTTTTGAAGGTAGGGCTCGAGAAGTAGTAAACCACAGGGTCCAACACGCTGTTGAGATACGTCAGGCTGATGCTGAGGTAAAACACGGTGGTCAGGTTATCCATCGCCTGGCAGACTTCAGGTCCCGAGCGGTTTCCGGCTAACTGCTGGGTCTTGATCCAAATGATCAGCTGCGTGATGTTGCTCGGGAGGAAGCAAACTATGAAGATCACCGCCACGACTACGATGAAGCAAAGAGCCTTCTTAATCTTTGCTTGCTGGAACAACTGTCTCCGTCTCAGGTGTCTGATGATCTGGATCGTGCAGTAGAGAATCACAAGCAGAGGCATGTAGAAGGAGAAGATAAACACAAACTTGTGCCAGTTCAGATTGAGCGAGGCTTCAGTCTTGATCGTGAAGCTCTCGCAGTAGGTCGTGTTGATGTGTTGCAGACTAAAAATATTAACTGTCATTGAGAAAGTTACCAGCCACACTACAAGTGCTCCACACATGGCTTTAGGGATGCTCAGAGAGTTGATGGAGTGATGGGGGTGCACCACTCGCATGTACCTGTCCACAGCGATGGCCATGAGGAAGATGCTGCTTCCAGTGCGGTTCAGGGCCAACATGAAGAGGCAGATGTTGCACAGAGGGATTCCAAATGTCCACTTGATCCCAGAGAAGTAGTAGCTTGCACGGAAAGGCAAAGGCACCATCAGCAGGAAATCAGCCATTGCCAGGTTGAAGAGTAACACTGTGCTGCTCTTCCAGGGCTTCATGTGGAAGCAGAAGATCCAGAGAGCCAAACCATTGCCAACGACTCCCAAACCAAGCTCTGTCATCAGCAGTGGCGGGAGCACGCTGGTGAGCAGAGTGCCGTTGAATTCGCATCTCATGTTAAGTTATGTGCTGCCTCGCTGCCTGCAGATGAGACAAATAACCCCTTCAAGGTTTTGCTGCATCATAAAGCAAAACGTTTATATGGAAAAAAAGTGGTTGTGGTTTGCTCATTTACAGGAAGCCCTGTGGTTCTGCTTTTTTTTAATTAAATGTTGACACACTAAGCTTTGTTTCCCAGGGATGATTAATTTCTTTAGAATGTAACAAAGGATTGGCTAATTACTTCCAAGAGAAAAGAAACATAACGGGCTCACAAACAGTCTTTCCTGGACGGCCAACACCACAGCTGTCATCAAGAAGGCCCAGCAGCGTCTACACTTCCTGAGGGTGCTCAGGAAGAACAACTTGGCCACTAAGCTACTGGTGACCTTCTACCGCTCTACATTCGAGAGCCTATTGACATACTGCATCACAGTGTGGTACGCCAGCTGCACTGAGGCCGACAGGATGAGGCTTCAGAGAGTCGTAAAAGCAGCACAGAGGATCATCGGCTGCTCTCTCTCCTCCCTGATGTACATTTACACCTCCCGCTGCCTCAGTAAAGCCAAAAACATTGTCAAGGACAGTTCACACCCCGGCTTTCACCTGTTCGACCTGCTGCCCTCCGGCAGGCGCTACAGGTGTATAAAATCAAAAACAAACAGACTCAAAGACAGTTTTTTCCCAAGAGCCATCATTGCACTAAATATTTATTACATTTTATTTTGTATACCCCATGAAATAATTACTGCACTTTATTCTTTATTCCTACTTAAGTATGTATGTTGCATGTATTTGTTGTCGTATGTTGTGATGTTTGTTTGGCACCTTTTAACAGGGAGAAGCTTTTCTTTCTTTCATTGTACATGTATAATGACATTAAATGATTCTATTCTATTCTTATGTGAAAACCCATTATTGTTGTACCCTTACATTATTATTCTTCTTAATGCATTATTCTTCAATTAAAAACAATTCACTTGAATATAGTCTTCCTGGTAGTTAAAACACATTTTTGCAGTAAGAAAGCACCTTAATTTCAAAGGCTACAGGGCCTATTTTTTTACAGAACTAAAACCCTTGTTACTGCATTTTTTTCCTAACGTGTTTTAGTTTATATCAGCATTCGAATCATGCTGAAATAAACTAAAACAACACTTTTTAATTAATTTTACTTTCCATTATTGTCTTAAGTAAATGTCCAGAGGTCATGTCAGGTCAGTGCAATAAAACATATAAAGATATCATGAACAACATATTGACATACCTTTACAAATATATGTATATTTGGCTGTTTTTTATTTAAGACCTGAGAGGTATGTAGATGATCTGTTCAGACTTTCAGCCCCTACACTGTTTGCAACATATTATACATTTAAACCTATTGTTCAATAATGAACAAGTGCAACCAGTTTATAAAAAAGGGTCTTGGTCAGCTAACCCAACAGCTTTAGTGTGTGTTTCTCACCACTTTTAGGATCACGAGACAAGATCAATTGTGGCCGGATAAGATGAAATGAAAGAAATTCATGTTTGTATGCAAAGAGCTTCACTTAATAATAACCAGGCACCACTTCCTCGGCCTGGCGGTGGTGGCATCATGCTGTGGCGATGCATCCGTGCAAAAAGTGACATTACTGAAATGAACCACTCTAATACATGATGGACAAAAACCAGAACTACAGGATGCATTCAGGAACTTCATACTGGGGTGAAGCCAAACCTTAAACACAAAGGCTGGAGCGTTTTGGGGACATGTCTCTGGATCTCACTGTCCACTGATATCTTTGTAATGTGATTATTGCTCTGATGCTGTTGGAGTTGTGTCTTTAAGTCTAAGGTGAAAGCAGATACAAAAAAAGTGAAGGAATTTGAAGAGTCTGACGTCGTTTAGGTTCAGCGTTGTAGATAAATGGAAATGTGTCCAACACTCAGGCAAATTCATCACTTCAGCAGCTGATTGAGAGTCCTGCGTTGGTCTTGTCTAATGTTTGGTTCTTGTTCCCTGGTGAGGGCCCTTGAAACAATTACTATACTAAGACTAATTTACAGAATCATTATTCAAATATTTCTTGTTGTTTTGTTTCTTCGTCAAGTGGGAAATAAGTATTTTTTTGTGTTTCTCTTAGTATCCTAAGATACTGTTATGTTTGGCTATGACATTCTTTTTTTTATTATGTAGGGCAGACCATCTATTACTATTTATTTTGTTTTTTTTAGAAAGGGGCAGGTCATATAAGATTAGTTTCTTCTCCCTGCTCCTTTTCGCTCAATGGTGTGTTTGTAGAGACATGTTTATTGTACATTGGGTTTTGCGTACCATGAGCGGAACAAATAAAAATGAAATGAAATGAAATATTGATTTAAAAGACATATTTTTTTAATACAATAATTAGAAGATAACACATATGGGACTTTGCATACGCTATGCATTGTGAAAGTGGAAGGAAGTCAAGCTGGTGCCAAGCTTCAGCTGATAGGAAATCTTATTAAAACATTTTTCTCAGAATTTGAATAAAGTGAAAGAAATTCCCATTCTGAAAAACTAAATCTGTTTTGCAAAACTAAAACCCGTGTTTCTGCCTTTTTTTTTCTTCTGAACTATTTTAGTTCACTTCAGCATCCCATACATGCAGTGAAATTATTTCACTTTCATTGTCTTAAAAGCTTAAATGTCCAGATGTCATTACATGTACCTGGTCTTAGTACAAGTTCAATAAGAGGTTCAATTAAACAGACACAAAAAGTATAAAAATGGGAAGCTGAAAGGTTACATTTGGGGTGTGAGTTTCAGATTAGCCTTATTGCATTCACATTTTCTTTGAAGCACTTCTTGCTTTTAGAAATGTGGGTGTTGTTAACAGCCTTTTCGCATATTAAATATGATACAGTTTCCTTTTCTTTAATCCAGATTTCACTTATCATAGGTTCTGGTTTTAACCTAATAACCTTTATTGATTTATTCAGTGCAAGAGTACATTTTGACCCTTCCCTTTTTAGGGTGAGATGACACTTGGGTACAGTGTGAGACAATGATATGATCGGTATTTATAATATAATGTATACAGTTGTTTTCAATATGTACTAGGTAAACTTTTATGCATCTAAATGTAAATAATGAGAATATATCCATTGACATTGTTAACAAAGAAACATCACAAAAAAGAGTAGCATAACACAAGATATACATTTATTATACTTAATAATGAGGAAACCAAGGCAGTGATCGGTTTTCTGGTGTCAATTATGGTTAATTGTGTGACGATTCAAAGACTCTGGAGATTTAGGATATTTTCATTTATCTCTGAAGTGACCCACCTTATAATCAGTGACTATACAATGGGCTGAATTTGGTTATGAATGACCTCACACACTCAGTTTGTAAACCTCTACTGCTTTCTAGTGGATAACATTTGTAAATGCAGATTTTGCCATGTATAGATATATAACCTGTAAATATACAGTACCACAAAAGGAGCTCCTTAAATAAAATGTGTCATGTATTTCCCTGATGATTCCTCTAAAAGTAACTGTAAGGAAAGTTGTGATGTAGGGTTAATGTCAACAACAAATTAGTTTAGAAAGAAACATGTGTAATTAAGCGTTGTGTACAAAAAAGGAGTCTTTATTTCTTTACATTTTGGCTGTGTGACAAATATAGACAAACTGAAACACGCTTACAAGTTTAATAAGTAGTGAGAGTGGCCTTAGGTAGGCCCATTGAAGCATTTTATGCATTTATGGTAAGCAATTCATAGGGCTTTACAGAACAATGAGAATAACACATACAGACAGAAACACATAAAGAAAGCGAGGGGGGAAGTATTTTCAGCTCAACCATTCACCCACTGGCTAATTTACCAATGGATGTGAGTTGGGCCTTGCCTGTTCAGAGACTGGTTTATGTAGAAATGCGTGTGCAGTTTAAACCATGCAGAAACAATGTGAACAAGCCAGTTCAGCTTGCGGGGCGAACATGTCCTTTTGTTCCCTTCTCCTGTTGTCCCATCAGCCCTTGTGTTTCCTTCACCTGCATATTTGGGAACAAAACATCATGGTCACTGCTCCACCCGCTGCAACGGACATGAAATTCCAGTCCTACAACCTTGAAATGCAGACAGAGCCTAAAATAAACAAACAACAGAAGTGTTAGTTTTCTTATTCAGGTGTCACAGCTGCTCTTGGTGGGTGAGGAACAAACTACATTTCCCAAATGTAGGCCTATTGACTTTGTATCTTGATTGTTGATTAGATTTTTATACTATAAGTTTTTATTGAAAGTGGCTGAAGCGGTGTCAGGATAAAAGATGAGGGAAACAACAATAGATACAAACAAAACGAGTTATTCTACATTCCTCAAGTCTTGTGGTTAGTCAGCCAAGTCGAGTAGAGGCACAACGTTAAAAAAAAAAAACATATATTATAAATAACACATTCAGGTTTACGTTCACTTGAGAAAAAATAGATCTATAAAACTTTTAGTGATGTGTTTGCCATTTGCACACATTGATCTGCCTTCATTCACTTTCTATATCCTGTTTCCTTCCCTGAGTCAACCTAAACATTTTAAGACATTTTGAGTGTTGTTTATTTTATTTAAGAAGATTTACCAATATTGTTTGCCCACTAAATACATTAAAAAGTATTATTGAGTTTGCTTAATGCCATCACATTGTTGATTAAAACACATTTCTGCTCATGGGTTTCTACCTTTGCTTATAGTTGACCTCGTGTTAATGAATGTGCATGGTCCCTTCTTAAGTAAATAAATACAAAATATGGTGGATAAAACGATGCTTTATATGTAAAAAAAAAAGTTGTAAAAATAGTATTTATTGGCCTAGCTTTCACCCAAATGAAGGCACATCCCCTGATTACAATCTGATTTGATATCCTGCTTTATTTGCCTTCACTACTTGATTTCATTGAGGTGACGTCACTGCCTGCAGCTGAGCCAGGAATAAAAACACACATATTAAACAACAGCACGATTTATTAAGATAATTGCTGTTTTAAAAACACTTATCTGCGATGTAATGGAAACATTTTTGACGTGTGTGTGTGTGTGTGTGTGTGTGTGTGTAGGAGGATGTCGGCGGCAGGAGACACGATGATGCATCATGTCCTCCACCTTGGGGGCGTATCCCTCCGCGGCCGTAACGCATGAGGCAAACATTCACTTTGCTCTTCCTCATCAGCCGTGGTGCATCACCAGCGATGAACACACAGGACATGTCCCTTTCTAGATAGTGCGCAAGTGCTCTAATATTTCCTCTCGCCTGGACGTGTTTTCGTGTCTTTATCTCTTTTTGTCTCCCTGAGACTGTCCTTGTCCGAGCTCCAGGATGAACAGCATTAGACAGGTGCCCACACGGGTGAAGAGCCGGCGGACTGAAGCCAACCTCGGCGCGGAGAGGGAGCATTTTGACAAGCAGCAGGTAAGAAATATCAGACATGTAATGCTCTCTTTGGGGTGAAAACCTTTATTTTACTCGGGCCTGCTCTGTGGCTTTACGGGGGGACTATATGTGTGTGTGCGCGGTGCTCACAGTCAGTGTATCCTACCGCATAGGCCACGTTTCCAATTAACACCTGGACCTGGGAGTTTAATGTTTGAAATGTGAATTAAATGTGTCGAAGGCGTCTGTCTATTTGACAACAAATGCCCAGTTGCTGCTAGGTATGCTGTGAAGCTGAATATTCCGTGTGTGTGTGATTGTGCTTGTACAACTGTCTATCAGTAAAGTAACTAAGTACATTTCCTCAAGTGCTGTACTATATACGGTATGTAGTGTGAGGTACTTTACTTGAGTATTTAAATGTGTTGCTGCTTTGTACTTCTACCCCACTACAATTCAGAGGTAAATAGTGGGATTTTACCCCTCTACATTTATCTAATATCTTTATGACTTTAGTTACACCTGGAGTAACATTCACAAGCTCCCCTGCAGCATACAAAGTCACTCGCACCTTTAACATCTTTGATAAACACTTTCATACATCAATCATTATAATCAAAACATAATATATATCATTCTGAAATGGACCAATCTGCATAATGAGTACTTTTACTTTAAGTATATTTTGATGCTAGTACTTTTGTTCTTCTACTTGAGTAACATTTTGAATGCAGGACTTTTACTTCTAACAGAGTATTTCTACACTCTGGTACTTCTACTTTTACTCAAGTACAAGATCTGAGTACTTCTTCCACCTCTCCAACTAACCTTGTGAGAACCAACATGAGTTTGAGACCTTCAAAGCGAAGACATCTTTCGAAAGTGAGGATCTTTGGCCTGTCCTTACTTTAGACATATCTTAAAAGGCCTGTTTTGGGGTTCATACTTGGTTTCAAGTTACTATGAAGGTAAGGGTTAGACATTTAGTTATGATAGTTAAAGTTACAGTAATGTGTTTTTCTTTTAATACGTCTTAGACAGGCTAGGAAAGACATGTATTATCACTGGTCAGTTATGGGCAATTTTTGCCCTCAATGTTTGAAATATGGAGGCCTTTAGGCTACATACAATCACAAACTTGTTTTTGACCCTTCCAGTGTTTTTAATAGGGCAACTCATTTCAATAAGGGGTTGATTTTTGCAACACAAGGATAGACAGTATCTATCTGTACTGTGTTTCCTTGTGAAACTGAACATTAGCCCCATTTTCATTTGAAACTGTTTCAGAGACGGTATGAATTGTCCATTCTGAAAGATTCTACCATTGAAGCATATTGTCGCAGCCTTAATATAGATACATCTTTGATATTAAGATTGAAATCCAACCATGTTGTGCGGCACTTTTCTATAGTCACACCATTCATTCCTTTCTTAAGCTTGTCCATTGATATCATGCTGATCTTGTCCTTCCTGTTTGTCCACCTTTCCTCCCTTACAGACATCAGTTTCCCTGTCTTTAACAGCCTCATTGTTGAGCAAACACCCAGGAATCACATTCACTTTGAGATATTTTTACCCTGGTGGAGTACGTACTCAGAAATATTATTCAGTTTCCTTTGTGTCTCCTCTAAATGAATGAGATTTTTTTTAATTCTTCATGCAGCGACAGGTGCTTTGTGTTTTCTGGCTGTAACCTCACTATCCGCCAAGTAAAAACGTTATACTGCTCTTTACCAGAATCAAGATACATCATTGTTTTAGGGAGCTGCTGCTTCAAGTGAAGCACACACCCCGTCTGACTTAGAAGCATGAGATTGAAACGTGGTTGAGTAACTAAACAAACCGTTGAACAGCTGTCCGGGAGTTACAACACTTTCATTATTATGCTATCTAAAATGGGCTGAGCTTTTCCTTCGCTGGGTGTGTACTCCTCCGTCAGGGCTTTATTTGCTTTTGCAGCACGTGTAGAGAGGTGGAGCTGATTGTCTTTCCTACTCCTTTCTTTCCCCTAGTCTGCTAGACTGCATTTTTCTTTTGCGTAGTTGACTTGTTTAATGTGGCAGCGTAATATTTGTTGATTAGCAAAAACAAAAGTAGGCACAGTTGTGATTTTAAAAGTGTTGCCTTCCTAGTTTGATGCAGTTCAACAATGGTACAACAAGGAATCTTGTGTGTTAAGAACATGCTTCAAAGCTTAGTTTAACCCTCATATCATATTCAAAATAGTGTGGTCAGAGTATAATTAACCGCTTTCAGCAGTTGATCTTGTTTATGTGAATGACTCGGGTGCCACTGCTCAGTTGAATGAACCCACTGGGCAATATGCAAATGAGGAGGCAGTATGAGGAAGAATACGACTCCTGATTATTGTACGGCTCTTTACTGCCAACTTGTTTACATTTCACTACAAGTAGTTTAGTGGATGTGGAGTCTCAACTGCTGAACTAGTTGCATTAAAGGTGGGGTAGGTAATTTTGGAGAAACCAGCTCGAGATCGCTAGAATTTGAAAATACACAGCCGGAAAAATCTGCCACTTCCTTACAGAGCCCCTCCTCCAACACACACGAACGCGCACATGACCAATGAGGGCACGAGATAAGTTTGTGCACAGATGGAAGGCTGACAGGCAGGTAGGCCATCAAGTTATTTTAGCCGGGCCGGCTAAAATGATTGGTCGTGCTTTTTACAGTACTACGGCTTCCACAGATGAAATTTTTTTTATGGATTTATTGTCAAAGCACTTAAGATATTCATTGCTATCGGGATGTTAAGAGCATTCCATGGAATATAACAAAAAGTGTATCTCGAGCCGGTTTCTCAAACTTACCTACCCCACCTTTAAGTAAAAAGCAGTTTTAAAATGAAAAAATGCAACCAAGTGTTCTCTTAATTGTAACCTGGTTTGATTAGGCAGCTGTAAGAACTACATCTATAAGTCAACTAATCGATAAGTCGATCGACTAAATTGTACATTTTCAAGTGAAAATGTCAGTAAATGCTACTTTCAGCCTCTCAGATATCGAGATTTCCTGCTCTTCTCTGTTACATATTGTATGAAACTGAATATATTTTGAGATTTAGACTGAAAATACCAGACATTCGAAAACTCAATGCATGTAGATAGACAATCAGCCACTGAATTTATATTGAATATAGTACGTAGTTGCAGCCCTAGCTATTCTGTGTGTCTGAGGAGCCTCTATATTCCTGTATTAGAAATTGTATTCTCATATATTCCTCTCGTCATAGAGTTTCTGTGTACTGCTGATTCATGCAGGACTGAAACTCCTCACTGTCGCTCCACTCTCTCCTCTTTATGTCGACCTCGGTACCAAGGTGAAACGTCTCACACAGCGTCCTGTGTGTGTGTGTGTGTGTGTGTGTGTGTGTGTGTGTAGTGTTTGCTTTCCCTCGCTGTTGCCCCAGTGAGCGCCCATGAGAGAGTGGAGGGGGATGGGAGTACCGGAGGGTAAACACAGAGTGGGAGTTGAGAGAATTAAAAGCATGCTGGTCATGATGGTTTCACACTGAAAACATGAGAGGCTGATGTGTTAAAGGTGGGGTAGGTAATTCACTTCAGAAACACTTTTTGTTATATTCCATGGAATGCTCTTAACATCCCGATGAAGCAATGAATACATTAAATGCTTTGACAATAAATACATAAAAACATTTCATCTGTGGCACTGTGAAAAGCACGACCAATCATCTGAGCCGGCCCGGTTAAAATAACTGGATGGCCTACCTGCCTGTCAGCCTTCCATCTGTGCACAAACTTATCTCGTGCCCTCATTGGTCATCTGCGCGTCCGTGTGTGTTGGAGGAGGGGCTCTGTAAGGAAGTCTGAAGGAAGGGGCAGATTTTTTTTCAGTTGTGTATTTTCAAATTCTAGCGCACTCGAGCTGGTTTCTCCATTCTTACGTACCCTACCTTTAAGTGAAGACTTTAAGCAGCAAGTTTGTAACATTTGTCAACAACCAAAAAGGAGATTCAAGCTTTACAAATTCTATTATTTTCATGATCATGAAATAGACCAATGCTGAACACAATGTGGTCATCAATACTGTCATTAATCACATGGTCTGTGTTTTGTGCCTTGGCCCGCTTTGTGTTTTCAGCTTTTTAATCATGAACATCATGTGAAGCATGAGCTAAATAACCAGCTCTGCCAACTGGCCCTAAAACTGTCTGGTTGCTAAAGAACAATTTATCTTTTCATGAATATTTAAGTGGATGCAGAATTAATAATTAACTTGGAGATAACCCAATTAATAAGACTTAACCTCTGTCTGTTCTGCTAACAGTTGATTCATTCATTTTTCTAATGCATCCATTCAGCCCTCCGGACATATTTCAAAAACTTGACTGGAGTACACGGATTTGACAGGACAAGAGCTATGATGCCATACTATGTATATTATTTGTGTTTCTTTTGTAGCTGTTGCAATATTTGACAAGGGTTTTCAAAGCAGGCAAATATCTAGGTGTGTAGGACAGAAAGTTCTAAGGCAAGTTCTTACTTCTTAATTAAGAGTAGGGCTGAACATTGAAAAAAAATGAATTTATGAAATGATTCTCTATTTTGACAGGGAATGATCATTTCCGCACCATTATTCACATTTTCAATTCAAAATCTATCAAAAATCTATTTTTTTTTTTTTCACTTTTCACATAAAATCCAGTTATTACAAACTGTACACCCGGTGTGTTTTCTGAGCTGCAAGAGTGCTTTTTATACATCTGTTTGGGGACAGTGTGCACTTGTTTGATAGGATTATTCCCTTCGTTGATGTGGGAGAGCCTGCGCAGGTTAATTAGCAAAGGGACAAAGTAGCAGTATAAGAGGAGCAACACAATAGGACGTTTATAAAATTGTGCATTAAAACCATTTGATTTGTTTTTAAGCGACACATTCAAAATGAAAAAGTTATAAACTCAATAATGTACAATTCAAGTAAGGATTCTTGTACAAAACAGAAGCACACTTCCTTAGAAGGAACCTAGTCGTTTCTTTCAATGTTGCTGCTGCTGCAAGGAA